TGGAGAAGATGCCGATGGTGGTCGACTGGGCCATGGGGAACGGGACTTGTAACAAGGCTCAAAGGAATATCACAGGGTATGCTTGCAAGAGCCAGGACTCAGAGTGTTACGAGCCGAGTAACGGTTTTGGTTATCGGTGTTCCTGCAGGGAGGGCTACGAAGGAAATCCGTACCTCGTGGATGGTTGTCGAGGTAGGTATTTTCGGGTTTAGAGGTCGGTTATTTCGCAATTCATTGTTCAACTTTAGTCTCTAGTTGCGTTAGACGCGTTACACTTTGCTTGTTTCTCTTTCTTTTCGTCTTGAGACTAAAGTTCGATAAAATTTCAATCTTTAGTTAAAGTTTGCACCTTTTAGGTAAGTGCATTTAATTTATTAAGTTAATCTAGTTTAAAATCTAACCAAGCTAACTGGTTTAGAATGTCTAGAACTTTTATTTTTTAGATTTTTGTGCTTTGACGATTAGTTAGTAAACGAAGCTCCAAAAAGTGAGAGACGACCGGAGGTTCCAAATTACTCGATTATCAATCAATTTCCAAAATCTATACTCAACAAAGCCGAAATTTAAATTGATTAACATAGTAAATAATATATGAACTCTTTTTTTTTTAAGATTTCGATTACCTACTTTGTTTTGCAGATGTAAACGAGTGTCTGATTCCAACGCTAAACGTCTGCGAAAAGAGATGTATCAACACGCTCGGTGGCTTTCATTGTGTGTGTCCGAAAGGGTACTATGGCGATGGAAGAAAAGGCGGGAAAGGTTGCATACGCGGTGAATCGCTCGTCTACAAACTTGCTGCAGGTTATAATCACTACTCTTTTGAGCCGAAAAACGTATAGCAGCAAGATTAGAGAAAAAAAAAGAACCTAACATGAATGTATATCCTGATTTTGTGAAAAAATATGACAATAGGTATTGCTATAGGAGTCATAGGACTCTTACTCGCCGGTTGCTGGCTGCATTGGAAGCTCAAAAGAAGGATACTGATCAAGATGAGACGAAAGTTTTTCGTGCAAAACGGCGGCATGCTGTTGCAGGAGAAACTCGTCGCTAAAAAAAGATCGGCATCCTCTTGCACGTCCCGAATCTTCAGTTCATCCGAGCTGAAAAAGGCTACCAAAAACTTCAACAGCAGCATGATCATAGGCCAAGGAGGCTACGGAACTGTCTACAAAGGCTTACTTCCCGATAACCAAACAGTCGCCATTAAAAAATCCAAATTAGAAGTTGAACCGAACCAAATCGAGCAGTTCATCAATGAAGTAATCATTCTCACCCAAATAAACCACCGAAATGTCGTCAAGCTCCTCGGCTGCTGTCTCGAGACGCGAGTGCCTCTGCTCGTTTACGAGTTCGTGAGCAACGGCACGCTTTACGAACACTTGCACCACGGCAAGGACAAGGCGCGGGCCCTCTCGTGGGACGTTCGTCTTAAGATAGCGAGGGAGACAGCTGGCGTGCTTTCGTACCTACACTCTTCGGCCTCGACTCCGATCATACACAGGGATGTGAAGTCGGCTAATATCCTTTTGGATCACACGTTCACGGCAAAAGTGTCTGATTTCGGTGCCTCGAAACTCGTCCCGTTGGACCATACACAACTGTCGACAGTTGTCCAAGGGACGCTCGGTTATTTGGACCCGGAGTACATGCAGACAAATCAGCTGACCGAGAAAAGTGACGTGTACAGCTTCGGGGTAGTGCTTGTCGAGCTTCTGACGGGGATGAAGGCTTTGAGCTTAGATAGGCTGGAAGAGGAGATGAACCTGGCGAATTATTTTCTTTCGTCGATGAGGGCAAATCGGAATCGGTTGTTTGAAATTGTTGCGGATGATATCGTGAGGGAGGGAGATAACGAGGAGCAGGTGACGAGAGTGGCCGAGCTGGCGATGAGCTGTCTGAACGTGAGAGGGGACGATCGGCCGAGTATGAAGGAGGTGGCGATGGAATTGGAAGGGCTGGTTAGAGTCGGAGGAAAGCAGTTGTGGGTCGAGCC